CACACACACACACACACACTCACCCACGTGTGACACCTTCATACTGACGCCCGCTGAACAGACACGACAGCGACTGCTCAGCATCGACAAACACACCTGACATGAACTGCCTCCACGAGACACATCAGCTTCTGGATCAGCAGCGCGTCATTACCGCCACCTTCACAGACCTGCAGCCGTTGCACATCCTCCAGTCACTCGCTGTAGCATCCTGGGTAAAGCGCACATGAGCTTCTGTCACTGTAATATGCAATCTCATTCACAAACGCCTGTGATGTAGCTGCCGATCGGCACACAACAGTCTTCCATCATCACGATTTTTCACCCTTTTTTTTGTTTGAGAATTTAATGAGCACTTTTACTCCAATTATTGAACAGAAGTCAGATTTTAGACTAGGTAGATGTCAAGGACTGAAATCTAAGCCCATATATTTTATACTGGCCCCAGACACTGCCATCTTATTCCACGGGTACTATTTATGACTTTGTTTTATTTCATAGTGTGCTAATCGTTCATGCTTTGTACTCATAACGCGTCGTCAGAGCAGAAACGAGTCCTGATGACGTGACTGCCAAGAGCCAGAGCTTCCTCACATGGTCCTTCATCACGAGCTTCCATTTCTTACTGAGAACCTTTGGCTCCTGTATGCAAAGATGAAGAGAAAAAGAAGCTGAGAGTGCTTTTTCTGTTGTGTAGCAAAATAAATGAACAATGATGGCCAAAAATGAATGAGTTCTGCCTTTCTTTATTTAATCCACATTTTATTTAAATGTATTTTTGCACAGGGTTTTATTCAGGCGTTTTCCACTTGACTTAAAAGATATGCTTTTAGGTAAAACAGAATATTGTTTTTTGGCATTAAGTTATTTAGATATCAATATAATATAATTTTTTATTTTAGAATAAAATAAAATATTTTTTTATAATAACTTGATCAATTCAGCAATTATTTTGAATGTCATAAGCTAAATATTATAATTAAAAATGTTAATGAAATATTTAACATTTATTTTATAATATTGTTTACAATAAATTGAATATTAATTCAACAGATTGTTGAATGTCAAATACGCTTAATATTGTTTTGTCATTAAGACAATTTTTTTTAAATAAAACATTTTTCATAAATTCAACAGATTATTGTTAAGAATATTGTTATGTAAGATATTAATGTAATATTTAACATTTTTTATA